ATTTATAATTTATTTAGGAAATACGAACTTTCTTGTGTTTCTTTTAAAAATTTATTAATTTATTTTCTTTAAAAAAAAAAAATTATTTAACAAAGCATTGAAAAAAACTTTATTATGAAATGCTTCGAAGGATCCACCACAATATAATTAAAACAATCTACCGCTACCATTTAGATTGTCAATTATCAACCGATATAGACATTGAAGATAATCTGTGGATTAAATTACCTTAACAAATAAGGAAACATCCGAAACTTTAATTTATTTTAGTAATGTCTTGTTATAAAATTAAAACTTTATTTATTTTGTGTTGTAGATTAATTTTAAAACATTAAAAAATTCTTTAAAAGATGTAGAAACACTTTGAACACCATATTATGCATTTAATTTTTTGCTGGACTTCAAGGTTATTTTTCTTCAATTCATTAATAAGTTCATGACCATTATTTTATTCAATCTAAAATTGTGTAATTATATTATATCGACGATTGTAATTTATAAAGGTGTTGATGATGAACCTATTATCGTAGCAATAACATGATTAACAAATTTGATTTAAATATGGTTAAAGCTCACTTGTAAAAAGATTTTCAAATTGTGCATAAAATACTTTGCGGGATCAAATGATTTTCAATGTCACTAGATTTTATTAGTTAAAACGGCCCATACCATTAAAAAATTGTAAATATATCTACGAATATATCAAATACTTACAATATAGTCAAGCTTTATTATTGAGTGAATTTTATATTATTTGTTTATTTATTTATCGCAAAACGGCAGGCGTCAACTTTTATTGCCTAAAAAATTAATTATTCACAACAAATCGTTAATTTTCAACTTGGGGATTGTAATCGATTCTATTATAATCGAAATAATCGAAAATTGAGTAAAAAAATTATCGAATATATTTTAGTGACGGCAATTAATATATCACGTGATTAATTATGAAAACGGTAGCAGGAATAATTATAAACAGTCGAGATGTGATGCTGCACCTAACTCTATTCCCCTAATCCTAATTTGATGCCCTTACCTAAAACGTACCCTAATTCCATCCTAAATCCCGCTAATTCAAGTTCGATATCGCCCGCGATTTGACAAAATAAAGATATTCGAGCAGATTTAACTTCAATTCCCTATTATATCATATCGTGAAATTGCACGTTCTTAGAAAACGTGAGAATGTTGTCAAATATTATATTACTTAGAATCCCATTAACAAACGATAAAAAACTATTACGAAATTGTCACTGACCCAATGAATCCTTGCTAATTTTTAGAGAAATATCTAATAGAAAAAAAGAAAATTAAAATACAGTATTTATTAAATTTATAATTCCTTTGAATTTACTGTATTGATAAAAAAAAATATTGTATAATATACTTACATGATCGCTGATTTAAGGTAGCACTTACTTAATTATGCACCAAGAATAATAATGCCACAAAATGGTTTGATATTTTATAGAATTCTAATTTACATTATCGATTATCAGAAAATGCAAAGAATGTCTATATTTTTGGATGATCTGTGTTAACTCAAATTTTGACAAATCTTGAAGTTCCAAAAAAAAAGTAAGAATTTTTTTTTTACCTTGTCTTAGATAAAGAACAATAATGAGAGCATCTATAAGAGATGTATTGATTTAATCGGGGTAGTCTAATATTTTGATAAGTTGCTGATTGCAACTCAGTTAAAGCCTATTAGAACTATATCTTTCCAGGTGAATTTCAAAATATGTTTTCTTATATTCATATTGAGATGAATATATCATCGCTTGTTCAGTAGAAACTCTAAAGTATATTGCATTATCTGATCCAATTTCTCCAAACGAATAAAAATTCCATCTAAGATTAGCTTTTGTAATTTCATCCTAAATTCCTGAAATATAAATATTAACAACAAAAATGTAATAAATGGTTTCATCATATATTTCGTATAAATAAAGTGAAAGAAGACGAAAAATCCTTGGGAAATAAAAAAGCAAGTAAGATCAAATAAACTTAACTTATTGAAGCAGACAAACCCCAAAAAAACTTAAAGAAATAAAAGAGATGCATTTTCAAATAAAAAATTCATCGACATACCTTAATAAATTTATGAATTTGTAAGCAACCTAATAAATACTCCTTTAGCAAAAATATGATCCATTATGAGGCTCTTTTCCGGACATAACTTATTAGAATATATAATAATTTAATTTATAAATGTCACATAACATAAAGTAAATTTTGAAAATCTCCAATATATTAACAAAATATTCCCAGCTGTATTCAGGAAAAACATGTCTTGCAACACGTTTCTTCAAATACTACTATTGTTTGGTTGGTAGTGACAGTTATTTGAATTATTTGGATTATACAAGTAGGTAGATTCAAAACAAGTCTCTAATTTAAAAATGCAAAACTTATAAAAGCAATATAAAAGGTTTTAGTAATATAGAAAATGTCAGATGATTGAAAAAAATTTAATTTTTTGGAAATTGGTACAGCAAGTACTCGAACTCAAGACATGCTTACTGAGATACTCTTATATTATAAGCAACATGCCTAGAGCTGTTACCACTATACTAATTCAACATTTTATTAATTTGCATATAAATTCAAATAATTTAAATTAAATTGCATGAAACATGTCATGTGATTTATCTCTTAAAAATTCGTTCGTTATTTCAGTCAAGTCATGTGAGGCATTCTTGATATTCTCAGATAATCTTATTTTGATATGTATTCACATTTTATAGACACACTTTTCGGCAAACTTTCAATTTTGTTAATAGGTATTATGGTATGGATTGTATGTAATAAAAACACTGTATTATTTTTTAAAATTTAACGTGAGTTTCTAGGAGTGGATTTTTAATTTTTTTTAAAAATATATTTAAAAAAGCTTCAAAATGGAGATTCCTTATTATTTTTTAATAATTTATGAATAAAATTTAAATTAAAAAGTCGGAATTTTATTTAGGTTTTTTTTTAATACACACTTTTAATATTTTACAACGCGTTATTTAAGATCATACATCAAATGTATCCATATTTCGTGTTAAGACCGCACTATTATCAAAAAAATTGTGTAATAAACCTATCGTTGACATTTCTGACAAAGTAATTTTGGTGATTATTGCATTTACATATTTTACAACATTTAAATATTTCTTTATCACAGTCTATAAGATGGGATTCTAGGATATAAACTATTGAATCTACGAAAGACAAATTAATCAAAATATCGTGCACGATCTGCCAATGTATCGAAAGTAGTGATAAAATTGCTCTAATATCAAGTGAAATAATCAAATGGATGTTATGATGAAGTAGACGAGATGGAAAGTATATCAAAAATCACGAGACGAGATTACGACAATGATATCGATGACGGTATTGGTGATTAAAGAAAATATTAGAAATATAGAAAATGGCAATAATGGCAAGTTTGCAAGATTTTGCGCATAAATAATTTCAAGAATATCAAAAAATATCGTAACCATCACATACCTTCAATATGGGTGATCATCTTACGTATGGATCATTTGTGATTCTTTAAAAGTATGTTACGATTAAATAATGATCTACAAATTTTTTTTGTCAACATACTTTTTTGTTAAACTTCAACCTCTTTCAATTTAAAATATACACTATGAGAAATACTTTCATATGAAAAGTGGTCAATCAATCATTATGATTCTTTATTATTTGATTATTACGACCAACTGATGCGTATTATTAAAGAATATTTGAATAAGCCACAGGAAATCTGCAATGTTGCTTGAATACTCTTAGGAAAGGTAAGACTATACGAAAATAAATTTATTCAGATGGGGCTTAGCCATTTTCTTGTATCTATAAAATAGATGTGGGTATACAAGTACTAAATTGGACGCATATTATTAAATTCATCTTGATAGGCATGATGGGATTTTACAGTCTACTGATTCTGGTGGAATGGTTATCTTCTACAAAAACTTTAACGTTTGTATATTCCTGCATCCAGCCATCAAATATTTTTTTTTTGGTTATTCTTTTGTGAAGTATTTTCTCATTTAATTTTCTTATATAGGCCGAGCTAATAAAGTTAATAATAACTTATGGAATTCAATACCAATTTATCGACATCAACCTTTGAAGGCAAAAAGAGAATTCATCAAACACTCTATCTCTAGTTCCTACAACAAATCCAAATATGAAATTCTTAGTCCCTGTCGAAGAAATACTTTGCGAGCTAATGGTTCAATAGATATTCTTGAGTTCATAAATATTGCTGTGCAAACTTTTGACAAGGAATAGGTTTTTTCCGCTCCTACCGCTCAAAAAATCTACGGATCGATTCTGAGCAAAATACTAAAGTTCCAAGGGAAAGTGTCTATAATGCAGAGCATAATTGGTTAGTAACTGTCCAATAAAACCTTGAAAAGTTGGCGACGATGGGAACTATCACATATATTATATTGTGATTTAGAATAACGATAATCAAAATCATATTGCTTTACTGGAATTCTTGGCAACAGCATCTCACACAAATTTGAAATGCATTTTTCTCGTGAGGACAATATTGCCAATTTTTCATATTGGCTTTGCATGAAAATGCAAAATAAAAAGCTAAATGTTGTGTATTTCCGGCAGTATAGGTAATTCAAATATGTGTCAATGATTCCTAATCATTAGATGTTCTTGGTAAATACTAAATGGCATTATATACTCCAATGAGGAAAAGATATTGGGCGGGTTTTTCTTGTTCGGCTAATACTTCGGTCACAAATTTGATGAATATTCACTTTTCTCACACACTAATAATTAATGAGTATAAAATTGGTAGCAATTTTTTTTAATGAGGAATAATGTAAGTTAACATTTTAATAATTTATGATTGAAGCATTGTCATGAACTTTATCTTCTTAAGTATCTTAAAAGTGAGATTTTATTAATTACAAAAGAGTAGGTACTAAAAACTTTAGAGTTACGTTATTTTAGTCCAACATCTGTACCATACCATATTTATGGACAAAAACATAACATATTCTATAGGATGTAAAGCGGTATGTAATACTTATTTAAATACACGATTTCATCTATCAAGTATATTCATTGTAATTCAGCTATACTTTGAGATAGCTACCTATGATGGATTGAGACGATTAGCTTTTAATCTTGATATTGAAGGTATAACCAAATAAACCTTTTAAAATTGTCTATTAGAACAAGCTTCTGATTTTTATTCAGATTTCAATAGTTTAACAGGTGCCGAGTTATATCTTAATATTCATATATAGGAGGTTTGCTATTAAAATTCATGTTCGGAACACATGATTTACTATGTCTCGTAACATTATTTTAACAGAAAACGACCTGTGTGGTCTTTTTTAATGGCTATTATGCTTGGAATTACGTGCACATCACTGCACCGAAGAGCTTCGTTCACGATTTTCGAGGATTGAGTCGATGTGGTAGAATTAAAGAGTAAGTTGGGATAACTAGCTTCGCCCGAATCACCGTAAGACGATCATTTCTGTCATTACGGGCTTTTTGACGTTCTGGAAATGGATGGGTAATCATCATTGTTGTTTTATATTATAAATTTTTTAGCCTTATACTGTTAGCCGGAGGGTTGGAAATATAACTTAGACGATATAATTCAGTCCGTCGAATTAATCACAATAACTTTATCACAATCACGCCTGTATGAAGACACGGCAAAAGGTAATAGTAAATGAATAACAAATATCTTTATTGAACTCTTGGTTTATTCACAAAACCCAATCTCGAGTTATCTTTCAACTCAAGGGAAAATGCATGCTATTTATATAAAATAAACTAATAATAATAGAATATGATAAATATATCTAATATAATAAATATAACTAATATGATAAATAAAATAATATAATAAATCTATCAAATATAACAAATATAGATCATCAGTCAAATATGACCAATCTGTCATATTTGTCAACTAAATCAGATGATCACCGCAGTTACAGATCATGGCTTCAATGCAATATTTAATATTATCAAAAATAATAAATTGATTATCAATAATTTTATTACAACAAATACAATTTTCTTGAATCTCCATTTTTGAATGAATGATAATTTTGGAATTTAAATAAAAAAAGTTTTATTAAATATAAATATTAAAAAATTCTTAAAAAATACGAAATATTTTAAATTATAATAACCAATCAAATATGATAAATTTTAACAATTTTAACATTAAACTAAATTTATAAAAATTTTTAAAATAAACAAATTGTCTATTTAATATTCATAAATATTACCAATTCGCATATTTCTAAAACAACCATTCATTTTATAATTCGTTAAATCTATATCACCATTAAATTCTTCAATTTTAAAAACATTATCAAAATAATCGAAACCCCTTTTTATAAATATACAATTATAATAATTATGAATTGTTTCATTAATTTTTCTTCACTTACTAAAAATGATCTATTTATACTTCAGAATTTATACATTCTTTAAATACGAAACTTGTAAAATTATTAGGAGCTACAATTATACCGATTTTATCTTTATTTTGAGTTCTCATCAATATTAATTCCATTTCACAAACAACTCAATATTTACCGAACTTATCCAACATTTACTTTGAATTAAAATTTCTAATTTTTTATATCTCACAATTAAATCGACATCATCATCTCCAAATATTTTCCATTGGTTTGTTGAATGGTTAAATTCTTTCGATTTTGTACATTATTAACATTCTTTTTTCATGATGCTGATAAATGAAAATTTTCTTTATCTATATTTTTATAATTTTAAATCTTTGATAATAATACTTTTTTAACTACATCAATAGGTTCATCTTCATCTAAACATGTGTTTATAATCTCTTCACCAATATCTTTTAAAAATATTGAAACATGTTATTTTTTTGATCAATACCTCTAACAAATTTTTCCCCAAAAAAATTTACACTATCTGTATCACAATAAATCTTTTTCTTCAATGATAAAAACGGAAATAAAACTTCTTCATAATCCATTTTTAAAATCTACATCAATTATCTTTATATAACATTTCATTGACATCCTTTTTAACTTTATTCATCTCTTATAGCAATCTGGATTTTTCAAAATCATACTAAGCATATGTATAAGGATAAAAGGTTATCAATAGTTGATAAAACAGTGAACATTTTTGACCAGGTATTCCTAAACATCAATCTGCATGATCTGATTTTTAAAAGTGATTACGCAGTTTAAGAGAATCCTCTCACTTTTTAAAAAACAACTATTGATACTACTTCCATTTACAGTTCCACCTTTTATATAAATGGATTTTTATACAATACCTTATTACCAACACCTTTTCTATTATTAATAACTAACTTTATATTTTAAAAAATTTTTATAGAAATAATTTTTGATAATTTCTTTTAAATTAAACTTCAATTAAAAAAAATATATAAAATATAAAAAAAAAATAATTTGTTGTGAAGAGAAAATAAACAAAAAAAATCAATTCCGGATGATACAAGCACAAGCACGCCAGCCATTTTTTGTACGCGTAAATATTAACTCCATAAATTTATCTATTTTTAGTTGTCTAAAAAGAATTATTTACCCCAAAATTTGTATTTGTATCACCATAAATAAAATTACAATGAAAAAAATGATTATCATATTTAATGATTACATCATTTAAAAAAGTAGGCGTAATTTCATATCTGATATAATTAATTTAAGATCTCATTTAAATTTTGGTATGTAAAATATAATATAATATTTTATTAATTTTTTAATATTTTTTTTTAGAAAAAAATATTATTTATTTTATTAGAAGTTGTTTTTTCTCAATTAACTGAAGATAATAATGATGTAAGAACCGAAAAAAATACAAAACCAAGTGGAAAAAAAGCTGACCAAAATAAAATTATTAATAAATTCGAAGAATTTCTAATTAATAATATTAAAAGAGATAACGAGGTAGAAGAAACTTTTGATGATTTTGATGAATTACATGAGAAAATAAACTCCGAATCATTATTAATCATATTAATAATTCAAAGGGTGAACTTTATTATAGACATCTAATTAATTATCATATATTACGTTTAAAAAATGATAAATTTAAAATATCTAATTTAGTTTTAAAAAAAAGTAAAAGATCGAAAATTAAAAAAACCGCTAAACGGTTTTTTATATTAGCAAAAAGTTGTGCGAAAGGGAAATGGAAACAATGTGATATTGGTCCATCTTATTTTCTTGATTTACAAAAAGAAAAATGGGATGACCTTTTGATTAAATATGAAGTAGTTAATGAAGATAGTGATAATGAAATGAATAACTTTTTTTGAAGTATATATGCTATTTTTTTTTTATTTTTATGTATGTACTGTATAAAATAAATTTTTTTATGTTATATAACAATGAAAATGGAAATTTTTAAATTTGTCAAATCTAATCTATTAAAAAAACTGTTATAAATAAAGTTGTTCGGAAAATGGCAAAAATTCGCGAATAAAATCATATCGAAAAGTATGTATAATTTAATTTTTTTTTTATTTATTTTTTTTATTTTTTTATTTAATAATGAATTTTTTTTAATTTAGATGACTCTCAGTTATAAAAAAGAAACTGCGTTAGAAAAACATGTTCATGAATTTCGTAATTACGATTTTAAACTTCAAGTTGAACGGATAAATACAAACAATTCTAAAGTATATTTTTTAAATGAGAGCGACGAAGTTATTTTCATACCAAAAAATATTTCATGTAAAAATATTACCGCTGGAGACCTCGAAAAAAGCTTTACTTTGGATGATACCGAATGTTTTTTATTATCATGGTCTGATAGTTATGATTTTTTATATGAATCCGAAAAATTTTTTTCATTATACAATCAAAAACAGCAACAAGAAAAAAATCAAAATAGAGTTTTAGATAATAATAAACCTAAAAAGAAAGAAAATAATAATAATAATAACAATCAAATTACTAATTATTTTAAATAATTTTTTTTTGGACTTTTTATTTATTTGTTCATCTTTCAATTTTTCAATAAAACTAATTAACTTTGTTAAACAACATTCGTTACAAACACCATTATAATCTGCAATATCTTTATTTATCTTTTAAATTCGTTCTACATATTTTACATAATTTATATTGATTTTTTAAAACGATTTATATTTTGTTGCTCTTTTTTTCGGATTTTCCAATGATTTTCTAATAATTTATACATACTTTTTGTAATTTAATTTGTTTTTTCAAAATTATTGAAAATATTAATTAAAATATCTTCAGGTAAAATAAATCCATTTGTAATTTTACATTTTTTATTATTAAATATATTTTCTCTATTAATATTTTCTTTATTAATAAGTTGATTTAATTTTCGTTTCATTTTTATTTAAAACCAAATTATAATATATGTAATTTTACATTTTTTATTATTAAATATATTTTCTCTATTAATATTTTCTTTATTAATAAGTTGATTTAATTTTC